AAAAAAAAAAAAAAAAAGAACATAAGGACAGCCATATCTTATGGAACTCATTTAAATATTCCAAAAATAAGAAGATATAAAATTCAGAAGGTTAACACATTGAAAGTTTGTCTGGGCATGGGGCGCATACCTGTAATAATAGCACTCTGGGAGGCGAGGGCAGAAGGATTGCTTGAGCTCAGGAGTTCAAGACCAGCCTGAGCAAGAGCAAGACCCTGTCTCTACTAAAAACAGAGAAACTGGGGCAGGAGGATCCCTAGAGCCCAAGAGTTTGAGGTTGCCATAAGCTATGACGGCACCATGGCACTCTCCCCAGGGCAACAGAGTGAAACTGTCTCAAAAGAAAAGATACTGAAAATCTGTCCTCCCATTCTTGTCTCCAGCCATCTAGTCCCTTTCTGTAGACAACCAGTATTACTAGTTTCTTAGAAATCTTTTCAGAAATATTGCATGAACAGCAAATACAGATTTTTTTTTTTAATGACAAAAGTAACATGTTATACTGTTCCCTTTTTATCACTTAACAAAATATCTTGGAGACGGTTCCATATCAAGGTGAATAGAGTTACCTGATTCTTTTTTTAGCTGCACTAGAAGAAGGAACTGTAATTTATTTAATGCCTTACGAATGAACGTTATATTGCATCTGGTATTTTGCTATTATAAATGATGCTGCAATAAATTCATGTTAAATATGCTGTGATTTGTACATGTGTAGGGAAGATTTCTAGAAGTATTTGCTGAGTCAATTGTTATGTGCACTGAATAAAATGGATAATTGTTACTACACTGCTCTCTGTCTAATGATCATGTATCATTAGGTGATAATCAGTTCCTGTCACTATCAATGCATGTATCGTCCTGCACTGATGATGGTGACAGTGGTAATGACAGTGGCTAACACAGCAAATTTATTCTAAACCAGGCTCTTTGTCCTGGCCTGAAAAGTTCGTAACAACAAAGAGAAGTGGATTACTCCTTACTTACAGATGAGTGAGTCAAGGCCATTTACCTGCCTGGCCACATTGGCACAGCTACTTTGTGGCAGAAACTTAGGATTTTGTTATTTTATATTTTGGGCTGATACTTAAACTAGAAATAACACATCTGAAAAATAAGGCCTCAGAGGGCTGGAGAAGGAGTAGTGCTAACTTGTCAGGTTTCACTGTGCTGGAAGGACCGGGTAGCAGCACAGCCAACTTGCAGCCATTAAACACAGGTTCTGGCCGTTCTTGAAACTTCCTGGAAAAAAGTTCCTAAAGTGACATGTCCTGTCGGAAGATTGACCTGGACCTCGAGATGAGGTTTCTCCTCAGAAGAAGTCATGTTTCCTTATTCCCTACATTTAAACACCTTTTTCAGGACACACTTCAAAAACAGTCACAAGTTTTATTGAAATAGAACATCTGTAGCTTCTTATTTCTGCATGACATACTAGAGACTCTAATAGTGCCTGGATAATATTTAAACTAGAACTGTCCCCTGTGCATAAATGAACTGTTTCCAAAGTTTTTTATAGCATATTATTCATTTTATTCTTTTTTTTTCTTGGAGACAGTCTCACTCAGTTGCCCTGGGGTTGAGTGCTATAGTGTCATAGCTCATAGCAAACTAAACTCTTTGGGCTCACACAGTCCTCTTGCCTCAGCCTCCCAAGGAACTGGGACTACAGGTGTCTGCCACAATGCCTGGCTGTTTTTTAGAGACAAGGTCTCGCTTTTGCTCAGGCTGGCCTTGAACTCCTGAGCTCAAGCAATCCTCCCAGAGAGCTAGGATTATAGATGTTAGCCACTGCACCTGGACTCAAAAAAAATTTTTATATAACTGAGTTAAATAATATTGTTGTCAATTATGAAATAATAGTAGGGTGATTTTTCAGATATAACTCTTGTACAGATTTAAATATATTACTAAAATTTCCTTTCAACTATATAAACGTAATGAGTTTTCATTATCTGGTTATAATAGAAAAGAAAAAAAATACCATATATTAACATTGATGGCATCATATACATGTTTGTCTATCTAATTACAGATGCTTCACAAGATCCGTAAAATACTATTTGTTTACTTGCAGCTTTCCAAAGGGATTGCCGGTTGGAAAAACTGCACACATTATATTATAGTAGTAACTCATATGAGGCAACTTTATATAGGTCGTTATCAATAGAAACCATCTTATGGGCCAGGCACAGTGGCTCACACCTGTAATCCCAGCACTCACAGAGGCCCTGGTGGGCAGATCACCTGAGCTCACTAGTTTGAGACCAGCCTGAGCAGGTCTGGCTGCTCAAAACCTCATCTCTAAAAAACAACAACAAAAAAATAGCCAAGTGTGTGGCAGGTGCTTGTAGTCTCAGCTATTTGGGAGGCTGAGGCAAGAGAATCACTTGAGCCCAAGATTCTGAGGTCTCTGTGAGCTATGACGCCACAGCACTCTACCAGTGCAACCAAGTGAGACTCTGTCTCAAAAACAAACAAACAAAAAAACACCTTCTACCTTGGTCTTATTTGTTTTGCCTGAGTAGCAGACAGGAAAGGTGGAGTTTGAATTGTGATTAGAAATTGAATCTATCTATGGGCAGCACCTCTGGCTCATTGAGTAGGGCACCAACCCCATATACCAAGGGTGGCAGGATCAAACCCCGCACCGGCCAAAATGCAACCAAAAATAGCTGGGCACTGTGGTGGATGCCTGTAGTGCCAGGTACTCCAGAGGCTGAGGCAAGAGAACCACCTAAGCCCAAGAGCTGGAGGTTGCTGTGAGCTGTGACACCATGGTACTCTACCGAAGGCAAAAAAGTGAGACTCTGTCTCTAAAAAAAAAGAAATTGAGTCTGTCTGATGTAGTCTCTCTGTTGCCTTTGATTTCTTTAAATTCAAATTTGAATGTAATTAAAAAAAGTTTAAAGATAAATATTTAAGAACCACTGAAGTCACTCCAGATGTAAAGTGTCTCCTCTCTGTTATAATCTACAAGTAAATACATCAGAGATAGAGTATTTGCAGATGCATAAATTAGTGTTAATGATTACTGTTCAGGAATAATCACTTCTTAGCTAAAGTGATTTTCTGCCTTAGTTATATTATTAGTAATATGTGAAATTTTTACTGTTTCCACCTCCTAGAAAACTTGTGAAATTCTATCATTTGTAAACATTGACCATATGAAATTTAGTGAACTGATGACAATAATGAAAATAGGTCACTTTTTCTCAAATGAAAAAATTGTTAGTAGTCATAATAGAAATATAAAGATGTGTTTGTGTGCCGTGAGAAGGCATCAGAATGATTTGGACAACGTGGATAAGTGGACCATCGGGGAACCACGTTTTTCTAACTCTGCATGTCCCCTTTGCCTCCTCTCTCAGAGTTTCTAAAAGGGTTGATTGTGGTTTCAGTTTTAGTTTTCTCCTTCTCAACCTGGCAGATGTATTAAGCTGCAAAAATTTCTGGGAATGGAAAGTAAATAATGAGAAAAGAGAGAAGGAGATGCATAATCTACAACTAGGATGCTTTATTCTAGGATGACTTGATAGTAATAGTTTTAAATGATCTCACTTAGAAACTAAAATATAAACATTTTGAAATATTACCATTACATTTCTTTTCTCCTTTTATGTTAGAAGGAAAACAAAATATCATTATGAAAGTTCTCCATAGACTAAATTACCTCAAATATTTTATAAGGAGAGAAATTATAAAAACAAAGTGCTGTGCGTTAGAGCTGTTAACCCCAGCATTGTCTAAGACCCAGGTATTAAGTAACACAATCAAAGATAGTAGCCTAATGATAACACGGTGTGTTTCTGCTTTCTGGAGTTGATTCCTGATGTCGTAGAGCAGGGGTGGTGCTGAGGTGGGGTTAGATAGAGTAGGCAGCAGGTAACTGGCTTCTCGTAAGGCTGGGCAGGGAGGTCAAAGTCCAGTGAGTTTCTATGTAAATTAATGAAACTTACTTATGCCAGGAATTGGAAAAGCAAGGTGATGGTGAAAAATCAGATGAGGAAAATGAAGAGAAAGAAGGAAGCAAAGACAAAAGTAAAGAAGGAGATGACGCCGATGACGAGGACGGTGCCGCGGAGCAGGAAGACTATGACGAGGAAGAGCAGGAGGAGGTACTGGCCCCCTGGGAGGGGCGGCAGGGTTCATCCTGGGTGTTATCCAGTAAGGAGTGAGGTCCACGGTGTGCAGTTAAACTCATCAAACTAAAACCAAGTCGCTGGAAACCAGGAGTTGATTATCGTCACTGGCATTGCCCACTGGGAAAGGCAACAGGGTTTTCAGTTTAGGTGGTATACAGTAAGGAGTGAGGTCCACAGTGTACGGTTAAAATCACCAAACTAAAACCAAGTTGATGGGGACCAGGAGTAGATTATCGTCACTGGCATTAATTTCTTGGTATCAAGAGAATTATTACAGCCCTGAAATGATCATGTTGCCCTATTAAATATAGGAGGTAAAAGTAACTTGGTAGACAACTTTAACTTTGTACACGAACATCTACAACTTAAGGAGATCGATCAGATGATTGCAGTTACGATTTGTCAGCATAAAACGTTAGGTCAGCAGTTAAGATAACGGAGGGCTTAGTCACACAGGGCTGTAAGCCTTCCCGCTTCCAGTCCCAGGTGCCATGTGGATGCTGTCCGAGGGCACTGATAATTTAACCGCAGGTACTGGCTGAGTCAGGATTCTGTTTTGGATTTGAGATTTCCAACTTTTAGACACATCATACATTTCAAAATAACCCAGAGTCAATCAAGATATTTTTGAGCTGGGTAACTCTGTTGGTCACAGCCCTTTTGGGACTTTGTGGACACCTATCACAATGGCCCTGGGCTGAGAGTTTTTTCTGCATTCTGGTGACCTTTATTTTCACTTCAACTGTTTGTACCGTACTCAAAATCTTTGCTTCTCCTAAAACTACTCCAACTGTCAATTTTTTATTATATGTTTTAGTTATTTTGTAATAAATGTATTATTTTGAAATTTTCATTAATATGAAGGGAGAGATACTGATACCTTTTTTACCTGTTACCAAATGGCTAGCTAGCTGCCAGCCTCATATGTTAAGTAATTTGCTTTCCTTATAATTTGAAATCTTTATTTTATCAGCTATTAGATTCCCATATCTACTTAGATATATTTCTGGACTCTGTTCCATTATTTCTGAACCAACACTGAGCTGTTCCAGTTAGTGTGTCTGATTATTTGTTTATTTTTATAGGCCATGTTTTTTCTGCTACCCTTCTTTTTCAGAATTTTCCTGAGTATTCTGTTTAAGTCTAAATATTTGAAAATTAAATATATTAGCCCGGTGTCCGTAGCTCAGTGAGTAGAGCGCCAGCCACATACAACAAGGCTGGCAGGTTCAAGCCCAGCCCTGACCTGCTAAACGACAATGACAACTGGAACCAAAAATAGCCTGGTGTTGTGGTGGGCTCCTGTAGTCCCCACTACTCAGGAGGCTGAGGCAAGAGAATCACTTAGGGCCTAGAGTTTGAGGTTGCTGAGCTGTGACACCACAGCACTCTACTGAGGACAACATAGTCTCAAAAAAAAAAGAAAGAAAGAAAAGAAAATTAAATATATCACATTTGTCTCGAGCTGTCACTTCCGATTAGTCGCCTTTTTATCCCATTGCCGTCTGACATGACTGAGACTGAGTCTTTCTGATCCTGTTTTCCTTTTCTTGGGTCCTTATATTAATTTCCTTAGGAGCCTGCTGGAACCTTGCACACCCTTCATGCCCATTCTTACTTACTGTTGATCTTGTCCGCCCAGCATACACCACACCAAAACAAGCTTTTATCATTTCTACTGTTTGCTTCTTTTTGTTTCAAACCTACTTGTAGAGTATTTCTGATGAACCACCAACATCGACGCTACTGAAAGAACACTGGACCATTTTGCTGGCAAACAAGTTTTCTGTTTCTCTTGTTAAGTTAGTTTTTTATGACAGTTTCTATGACTTTAGTAGGTGATAACACCTTCATTCAGGAATGAAGGCATCCAGAGCAGACTCCCTTAACTTCGTGTCCTGTGCCTTCACACTCAGTCCCCCTCTGCGTCTCCTTCATCCTATTTTAACATACTTGGAAGAAATGTTCATTTCTCAAACCCAGGTGGCACATGCTTGCTTTGGAATGCTAGAGTATCTCTTCATTTCCATGTTTATATACAGATTGGCTTGTATTTCCCTACAAGTGCCCTTGCCAAGGTCTCATTTATAAGGTGGCCTCATTTGAACTCTCAACCATGCCACCTCTCCCTGGTACACAGGTCCCGGCTTCAGCCAGGTTTCTAGACATTGCTGGATTTCTTGGTACCGAGGAAGCCAGGCCAACTTTCTGGGGTTGGGAAGGGCCTAAGCTGGATGTAGAAACTTAACAGTATTTAGGGAAGACAAAGTAATGAAATATTATCTGAATAACGCAAGTTACCTTTCTTACATTATTTATATGTCTTTGAAAACCTTCTGGAAAATAAGGGTGATTCAGGAGACTTTCTTTTGAGAATAGTTTTTATTTTTTACTATAGACAATACAGATATAAAGATTAATTTTTCATTATGGGAGATCTCAATCATGTATAAAAATCTAATAACTAGTAAAATAAACACCTGTGGTCTTCATCACCTAGCTTTAACAATGATCAATCCATAGCCAATCTTTTTTTTTTTTTTGAGACAGAGCCTCAAGCTGTCCCCCCGGGTAGAATGCCGTGGCCTCATAGCTCACAGCAACCTCCAACTCCTGGGCTCAAGTGAGTCTCCTGCCTCTGCCTCCCAAGTAGCTGGGACCACAGGCGCCCACCACAACGCCTGGCTATTTTTTGGTTGCAGCCATCATTGTTGTGTTTTGGCAGGCCTGGGCTGGATTTGAACCCGCCACCTTAGGTGTATGTGGCTGGTGCCTTAGCCACTTGAGCCATAGGCGCCAAGCCCATAGCCAGTCTTAACTGCTCATTCATTCACCCGATCTCTGCCTAGCCCCCCACCTCTACCAGCCATCTGCTTTGGATTATTTTAAGGCAAATCCTTTTTCCTTGATGGAGTCAAAAATAAGGATTTTTTGTTTGTTTTTTGTTTTGGTTTTTTTTTTGCAGTTTGGCTGGGGCTGAGTTTGAACCCACTGCCCTAGGTATATGGGGCTGGTGCCCTACTCACATCTCATACAATGAATTCCTTAATATCATCCAGTATTAAAATTTTCATGATTGTCTCAGATAAGTCTATTTTTTCCAATCAGAATTCAAATACAATCCATATACTGCAACTGGTTAATAAATCTTATGTTTATGTTTAATTTATATCCAGAAGGGGTTTTTGAATTCTTGAGTATAGTTATCTTCTCAGGCATTCACATGGCTGAAAGTTACGTGAAATGTCAGCCATGGGAAAAGGAATCTGCGAGGTCCCAGATAGATGAGCGTTCTCTAGATTTGGTTTGGCATCATGAAGTTTTGTCTTTTTTTTTTTTTTTTTTTTGATGGAAAGCAAGTTTCTCTGCTTATGGTCAATTATGCTTTGTGACTAAAAGCCCCAGCTCTGGTGCAGTTAATGAATGTTACTGGAATTATTTTGTTTCTTGAATGTCTGTGCATTTGGTAGAATAGTGTTTGCACTAAGGTGTAATGTGGTAGGAAATTTATCACCCTACCAAGATGGGATGGGCAACCCTTCATGTTCTCTCCTTGAGTCGGGGCCTGAGCACAGTGAGAGATGGTGGCCCTGAAGAAAGTGGCGCAGTAGGCTCCGCGCCTGTGGCTCAAGCAGCCAAGGTGCCAGCCACATACACCTAAGATGGCGGGTTCGAATCCCCAGCCCGGGCCCGCCAAACAACAATAATGGCTGCAACCAAAAAATGGCCAGGCGTTGTGGCGGGCGCCTGTAGTCCCAGCTGCTTGGGAGGCTGAGGCAGGAGACTCCCTTGAGCCCAGGAGTTGGAGGTTGCTGTGAGCATGATGCCATGGCACTCTACCCAGGGGGACAGCTTGAGGCTCCGTCTCAAAAAAAAAAAAAGAAAGAAAGTGGCGCAGTAGACATGAATGGAAATCAAAGTATTTTTTCAGCAGGTAAAAAAGCAAACTTTTCTTTTGAGACTGGTGTATTTTCTTTTAAATATTCATATATATCATTTCGTTCAGGAAAATGACTACATTAACTCCTACTTTGAAGATGGCGATGACTTTGGTGCCGACAGTGACGACAACATGGATGAAGCGACCTACTAGACAGGAAAGGGTCGCAGCATGTTTATGATGCAGCTTCTGAGCATGTGGACAGACTTATTTTCTATTTTATTTCTGGTAAGGAATGAGTATTATCTTTTTGTTCCTGTTATTTTGGACAATTATTTGCTACAAAACATTCAGAAAGAACCACTTTGAGTTTACATACTAGTTATCTTACAGATTAGTCTCTGACACTCTGACATTCCTTCTGAACGCCTCTGCTGTCCCTCTTAGGTACTTAGTGGATTTTTTTTTTTCCCTACTATTTGGATTTGAATGTGCCTAAAGAATTTTTGCATCTCAGTCTATCTATGCGTACTTGAAGAAATCATTCTTGTTTAACTGCTGATCTTTTGTAAAACTATTACTAGTCATACTAATACATTTCTATAATCTGAAAGTTGATTTAATACAGCACATAGGGCACTTTAAAGACAAAAAGACTTGAAAATAATTTTATATTTTACTTTTATGTGGTATGTTCTATACTACTTCATTACAACTAGATAAACCTACCTGAGCTCTTACAAGTGCAAATTTATGAGATTAGGAATTTTGAGGTCAAAACATACACACCAGGAAGGCAGCCTATCAAAGCAATATAAATTTCACAGCACACATTTCGTGAGGGATATTATCAATACTTGAATTTGGGGTTAACTTAGTACCATACAATATTGGAGTTAATCATTCTACTTATAATAAATTTGACTTCTTCAAGTAGTTGGGATTATGAAAAATTAGGCTAGAGGTCTTGTTTAATTTTGTACTTCATGAATTTGTGGAATAAGTTCTGGTCATATAAATACCACTGGAGAATGTATGTGTGTGAATTCTGTGAGGTGTAGCAGTCTCTGTTTCAGACGGCTTACAGACTGTACAAGTGATTACTGTAATGGCTTACAAACTGTATAAGTGATTCTATAGAATGAACTCAGGTCATTTGGAAATTAAGATTAATCTTGTTTAACTTAAAAGGTAGCTCCCCTTTTTATATTTGGGGGAAAAATATACCCCAAAACCTCACCTACAAGACTCTCACAGATGCCAAAGACTTTTAAGGAAATTCATGTTATGTATTTCAAACTTTATTAATATTTCCCACCAAAACAAATTTTCTCTTTCCCCTTTGGGAAGATAGCACCTTTTACCCGCTAGCCTGGGAAATCAAGAGTCCTAGACTATTTTTTTGTTGTTGTTGCAGTTGTTTAGCAGGCCCAAGCTGGGTTCGAACCCACCAGCCTGGTCTATGTGGCCGGCGCCCTAACCACTGAGCTACAGGCGCTGAGCCTACCTTTACTATTAAACTCAACCTTGAAACTAGCTTGGGTAAGTTTCTGTGCCTTAGTTTCTCCCCTTGTAAACAACCTCTTACAAAAAATTGTTTACAGCCAGATGCAGTGGCTCACGCCTATAATCCTAGCACTCTGGGAGGCTGAGGTAGGTGGATCACTTGACCTCAGGAGTTGGAGACCAGCCTGAGCAAGAGCAAGATTCCTGTCGCTACAAATAGCCAAGTGTTGTGGCAGGCGCCTGTAGTCCCACTTACCAGGGAGGCTGAGGCAAGAGAATCACTTGAGCCCAAGAGTTTGAGGTTGCTGTGAGCAGGAATGCCATGGCACTCAACTCCAGGGCAACTGAGTGAGACTGTGTCTCAAAAAAAAAATTGTTCAAACACCAACCAAAATTTACCATTATGTATTCATTCTGTTATAGAAAGGATCATTTCTTAACTGGTTCTCACTGCCTAAAAGCCTATAGTTTGGAAAGTAACTGAAAATACAGTTTTGCGAAATAAACTTTATATTTTCCTCACAAAATAGTGTAATCTGATTTTCTCATCCTGTATTTGTGGGTAAAATTGGAGGAAATTTTTATTGTCTTGTGCCATTTTATAACATGACTTTCTCAGGAAAAAGATTTTCAATGGCAATAGTTCCTCAAATCAAGATGTGTGAAGACCCATTGTACTAGTTTAGTGCTGTGCTGATCATGTGTGAATTACTTGTTTAAAGGAATTTAACAAAAATTTTGTTAAAGATTCTAATGACAAATGTGTCTAAGAGTAAAGAATAAATCTACTATACTTAGAGTAAAAACCTCACATAAAGTTGTCATTTGAGATTGATACTTAATCATAGGTGTTTTGTCCTCTCATTTTAGTACCAAAAGCAAATGCCATTAATTCCTAGAAATACTACCTCTGCTGTTCTGTTTACTTCGGAGATAACCACTTGAATCAGGCAAATGCACTGAAGGGAAGGGTATTCTTCTCCCAGCTTTCAATTTGTCTTCACCATTTCAGTCCTGCAGATAGTAGAGCAGCCTTTTCCAGGAGGCCCCAGCCATCTCCTTTACTTTCTTTCCCCCTTTGGAAGATCTTTTTATAATTTTAAAAGTACGCTAAATTGTGAAGAGTCAGGATCTACAGGTTGCTTTACCAGCATGTATCTTGTTTTTCTGGCTTAAAATCTGAGACTCTGCAAAATAACATCTTCCCATGGAATAATGTCAGAGATAGCCTCAGAGATATATATATGTATATAATATACATATTTGAAGTGTCTTTGAAATTGCTATAAGCAAAACTGGTTGCTATAATGCTTATTTTTTGTATTTGTTTACACATGAAATTCTTACAAAACAAATTGCGTCCTTGTGTCTTAAGATGTTTCATTTTGAATTTACTTGGTAAACTAATTTTTTAATACAGATTTTACTTAATAAAGTCTTTGCATATTGAGCAGGGATGCCTGTATCAAATATTCTTGAACTACCAACACAAATAACAAAACTCTAAGTATGTGATTATGAAAAAAGTGATAACTTACAAGATTTGGCAGACAGTATAGTATTTGTGTGATCACTGGAATCTTAATTCAGAGGATTCTTATTAACCTTTTTTTTCCTTCTGTCAGCGCTCTCAAATGTACTGTCAATGGCTTTTTTAAAATATAGTTAAAATCTCTGTAGTAAAAATTTCCTTTTTACAAAAAACAAGTGGGAAATGTAAAGTGATAAATCTTGGTATAAGTTAGTAATGTGGCTCTATTTTCCATAGCATCTCTATATCAAATAGTTTGAAAGCAGAGGAGAAAAATTTGCTTTATTTGATTAAATTCACGGGCTTCCATTTTAGATTGAATATTAAAATAGAAACTTTATTACATTGTGTAGATCTTTTAAAATCTGAAAAATAAGGGGCAGAAAGTTTTAAAAACCACTTTTACAGATGTACATGCTAACATAATGTTCTACAGTTACATTTAGCATTTGTATAAAATACATTATACAAAAGATTTGGAGATTTTGCATACATAAAAAGAATTAAATAAAGCATTCAGATATTTCTGTGATCTAAGAGTGCAATATGCACATACTTGGAGAAAAATACTGATTACCTGAGCAACACTGTTATAATCCAAAATGAGAATGAATCCCATTACAATGTATCATTTAAATAAAGACTTCTAAAAATTCCACTTTACCTGGTAACACTTTGATTAGATCCTTGCTTCATTATATTTCTAAAACAAACTGTATCCTTCATGTTTCCAACTAAATTATTTTAGAAATAGTATTATACATAACTATTACTATTATAATAATACTTATAATTACTAAGTAGTGGTTCATATAAAGAACTCTTCAGACCACTGAACAAGCAGATTAAGTCCAGAAAAAGTAGTAAAAAGTCCTTTGGAGATAATATTGCAGTCTTTGTCTAATTCTTAATGTGGACAGCAGACTCTAACCCATCTTAACTTGTCTTTTGAAGACATGAATTTGTTGATTTTTATAGGAGACAGCATATTTAAATGGCATCCATTAGTTAATCATGCTTACTCAAGACTCAAAGAAGAAAAATCTGCCTTAAATACACCAGATTTTTCTTCAGTTGCAACTCTAAATTTTTAAGAGAACCAATGCAGTGGTTCTCAATTACTTTTACATTTGCATACATGCATACGCACACACACAAATGTAAAGCCTCAAAGTAAGTTCAAATAAGAATTTCAACACAAAATGTCAAACAATAACTGTTTGTTATTTTGTTATGCAAAGTTATTTGAATCTGCTATAAACAATGAATACATGTATTAGTACTTTTTTAAAAGTTAAAATTATTCTGAATGTATTCAATGCTTAGGAAATTCTTTTCAACAATTAGAATCTGTAATTCTATATAAAACATTTTATAATTATATATAACAGAATTATATATAACTCATTATATCCAATTAATTCAAAAGTAGGTAATTCAAACAGAAAAAGGAAATTGCCTGATTGTGTCATGTTATTTTTCCTTCAAAAAGGATACTCTATGCATTATCAAAATGTTTTTTAACCAGTTATACAGTATGCCTCATTACTTTAAAATTAAGCTACACATTTTGGAAATCAGACACCTCCACCACCATTTCACAACTAGCAAAAATGAGTAACTGACTGTAATTTCATCAATTTGATGTAAGCAAAGTTCTTTGGATACCCAGCCTGCTCTACCCAAAAGTAAAATCTGCAATTTCTTCCTTAAAACTTGATTTTTTAGTAGGCTTAATATATATGATATAAAGTGACCAGTTGACACTAAGTATAAATTTTATCACATTGCTCTTTTCAAGATGCCTAAGGCCCATTAGAACAAATTTAAAATGTTTAAGAAATTTACTAAAAGAATCAATTTGCAACTTCTATTAACACTTTCTGATAATTGTCCACGGTTCTCTCAAATGTGCAAGGACTTTAATGTTTAACTTCTTATTGTAGCTTTTGATGATGCTTTTCTCCAGAAAGTACATAAAACTCCACTTACCAAAAATATTTATTTATTCATACAATTTTGTATCAAGATTGGAATTTGAAATATAACATGACTGATTTAAAAGGCTGAAACATTAAAAATTAAGAAATAATGCCCAGAAAATAAGGTGGTATTATATATCTTAAAGTATATACTTTATTATGTACAAAACATCCAGACTCCACCAAATCTCATTTCTATTTAATCGTTTTGGTTACATTTTAAAAACACATACTTTTAAAAATTAAACGATGGAATGAGTATGGAAATGCTTATTTAGCCAGACTCTGGCTGACTTAACAGATCTTAAAAAGTGGCACTATCGAGCCCTTGCAAACAATCCACACCTCCTTTGGCCTCTGTTTCCCCAATTTGATGCTACAACAGGAAAAAAAAACGTCTAAGTTGGAATAGTCCTCTTTGAAAAAACAGGTGAAGGCATCAATAAATAAAGCAATTTGTCTGGTACTGCTAATGCAAAAAGCTTCTCTTATTTTTGCTTCACGAACCATTTTCTTCTACAGACCTCAGAGGCAGACAATAAAGATTTGGTTTTGGCCCAATTAAAACTTGTGCTTGATAGTGAAGGTGGAGACGAAGTGATACAGACTGTGATGAGTCTAACTGGACCATCTGAAATAGTGCTTAACTTTAAAACTTATATTTACTTACAAGAAGTAATATTATAAGGCATTAAATGTAGTTAAGGCTGTTACTATATGTAACACAGCAAGGATTTATCACAGTATTTAAGGAATTATTTCCTAAATAATGCTAATCTGTATAACACTTTTTATCAAACTATAAAAGTGCTTTCAAATATCAGAGGCAAATATAATCACTTTAAAAACGGAAGCAGAAGTGAGGTTTAAAAAAAGGTCTATCTTAAAGCTTTCTTTAAGACACAAAAACTACCTTTAGATCTTGACCTGTTCCAGTGTTCTCATGACCAGATAGCACCTTCCCACAACACATTATTTGGGGGACTTAAAATCAATCTATTTCTGAGCCTCTATTTCAGAATTTATCTATTATGTTTCAATTTCTGTTTTTACATGTCCTTTCATAGCACATGCTAACAATTTCAAAACAGTGGGTTAAGTATGTGCTATCATAAGTAATTTTAGAATCAAACTTTTTTGCAACTAAGTATTTTGGTGGTTCACCGTAAATTTTATTCAGTTGCAGACATCTGATGTTAGTATTCTGCTTCATAAATTTAATCTTAATAACCTTAAACTAAAATCTTTAAAAAATAAATTTCAATGTAACTAGTCTTAAAAAAAAATGATACGTCTTCCAAGAACTTCCTAAACACACATTTAAATTCATTTCTGCTTTAAGCATTGATAAGCCACACTTATGAAATGACTGCTCTTAATACCAACCAGAAAATAGAGATTTTTATACCCAATACACTTGTAAATGGCTCAGAAAAAATTTTAAAGGTGTGAAAAGCATCTTCAGTCTCCCTAAATTCTGCCTTTGCAGCAGTTACCGAATACAAGTGATTTACCACAATGCAGATACACACAGGCGACCACGAACACTGTGATCAGGAGCTCATTGCTATGTTTTGTGTTGAGCAGGAGGTGGCTGAGAATCTTGACGGTAGAGTTTATGATCCTCTTGTTGGCTAAAGCGTATTCCTTTAGTTGGAGCGATTCCATTTTCCACTTCTCTCTGCTGGGATGGGGGTGTGATTCCTGAATATAAATGTGAAGAGTCCACTGTTGAATGGTGACTAACATCCACTCTAGCTAAAATTTCATAATACAGCAAGTAAAATACAGGTGTTATTATACCCACTATCAGCATTATCACCACAGCTGCCCACCACCCTATTCCCCAGTCTGCTCCATAGTAGGGGTCCTTACGCTGTGGAGTGTTTTTGTTATCGGGTTCGAAACGTACTTGCTGTGCTGTCAAGGCAGACACCACCTCGTTAAGGTTCTCTCTCTTGTTGTCTGTGCACTTTACTATTTGTTCTATGTCTCGGTCTACTTCTTTTAAAAAGCTACCAGCTGACTCACTGGAAGAAAAGGAATCATTAGCTGGCAAAATTTCCTGTTGTTCTGGAGAGTACAGAAGAGATGAATGACGTGAAGCCTGTCTTCCTTTTGGAGGACAAAGTGTTTCAGTCAAGGAACTAAACTTTTTTACTGGAATTTTGATAGATCTAAGAGCAAAAAAGTCTTGATCGCTGATGAGATTGTTAACTCTCTTGATATCTGCTACCTGTATAAAAAAAAAAAGCAACATTCAACTGAATTCTAAATCAAAAGTAGCAATACTCAGTTACCTCTGAAGGAAAAAAAAGTTGAACTTAATTATTAGTAGGATTAAGCTCCCTACCACCATCCAGAGATTTTAATTTTATTTGCAGATAAGATTTTACACACTTCTGATTTACCTGTTTTAGGAAATAGTTTTTACTATCATCCAGGTACGACCAGCTACTTAAATACATTCCAGCACCGTCAAATCACACACACATATACTGTAATTCCACTGGCTGTAAACAATATGTGCAGGAAGGATTACAGATATGTTTGCTATTCCAATTTGGCAATAGGAACATAGGCAAATATTAACTTACCCAACTAAAACTAATAGATCAAAACTAAGATGCCACCAACTCATATTATATACTTGTAAGGGGAAACAAACCCCAAACACCACCAAGTATATTGAAGATGCCACCATTCCAATTTCAAAAACGTTAAACTGTGGAAAAACATAAAACATATCCCTTAGAATAGAATATGACAATTTATCCCCCTGACTTGTCTTCTAAAGCCATCTTTTCCCCCAAACTTCAGTGTAAATACATTGTTCAACTACCTTCAAGATCAGTCATTTTTATAAGCTTTCCCTACATACGTTACATATATATATATATATATATTTTTTTTTTTTTTTTTTTTTTTTGAGACAGTGTCATTATGTGGCCCTGGGTAGAGTGCTGTGGCATCACAGCTCACAGTAACCTCAAACTCTGGGGCTTAAGCAAGTCCCTTCCCTCACCCTCCCAAGTAGCTGGGACTAGAGGCGCCCGCCACAATGCCCAACTATTTTTTGGTTGTAGTTGTCACTGTTTTTTGGCAGGCCCAGGCTGGACTAGAACCTGCCAGCTCCAGTGTATGTGGCTGGCACCCTAGCCGCTGAGCTACAGTCACCAAGCCATGTTACATATTCTTCAACCTGTTTGTATATCCTTCCACTGTAGGACAGATTTCTCTCTATATCCTATGCCATTCTGATGGTAGAAGAGGACAGTATTTCTCAAGTTACCAGTCAGGCTCTACCACCACCTTCATTAGTCCCATTCATCACTTTCATTAGTGCTGTGATCAAAGCCCTTCCTACTCATGTATTGCCTACACTGATGTCAGACAGGTTCAGTGCATTTAGGATGAAAGTTAGATTTCAGGTCTGGTCAACTCCATGGACAATCACGCCATTCACTGCGACATGGAACACTGCAGAGGGTGAGAAGAGGATAAATGCAGATTTCAAGCATGATTTGAGGTACAAGTGGAAGATGTTTAGTAAGCAGCTGTGCATACATGTCTAGAACTCACAAACATGATCTTGGCTAGAGATATGAACATAGATTTGTGGATTATCAGCAAAAATGGAAGTTACAAAATAGACAGGTTTACTAGAAAAAGATCAGCAGAAAAAGGCAATAAGAATGGTTCTTAAAGCATGCCAACCTCTAGAGGGGTATGTTGAGAGAAATCCATAAAAGATTAAGACAGCCAGGAAAGCAGTACAGAGTGGTGGTTAAAAGCATGGATATCTGGGTCTGAAGCACAGCGCTGACACTGAGCTGCTGCATCTGGGGCCAGCTGCTTAACTTCTCTGCCATTCAGTTTCCACTACCTACCTTACAGGGTTGATGGGATTATTAAGGAATTAAAATGTATGTAAAACACTTTTAACAGTGACATACAACATGTCACATGAACTATTAAATATTAATAGGGGAAAACCAGATACATGCAGAGTCAAGGTTAAGCAAAGAGGGGAATAATGAGTTGTAGATCAGCAATCAAATGGGCAAAATTCCCATGGAGTATACATGATGGGAGGTTGGGGGAATGGACTTAAGAGTAAAATGGAACAAAAGGATAAAGGGAGCTTTGTGCCTTACCGTCTTGATAGTTTTGCCTTGAAGCAAATGTACATTCACTGATGAGCCCCAAAGCTTGATGCCACTCTCTGAATGCTCTTTTGCTTGGTATTCTTAGACTCAAAACTGTTTCTGAACTAGGCTCCCAAGGTTTAACAGTGACCTAGGTTCTCTCTCTGAATATCCCTGTAATGTTTTCTATGTCATGCTAACTTCCTTGGTTGCAGTCAGGACTCCAGACTCCATCCTTGAACTTTTCGCTTCTCTCATCACTGTTTTATAACGGGCCTATTTTTGGTAATTCTTAAGACTATTTTTAAGTGGAATATAGCATTCACTGTATTTTAAAAATGATAATAAACCCTTTTGTAAGGCTAATCTTTTTTTTTTGCTAGTTGTGCACCCAGCAAAAGAAATGTCTGTTATATCAACTTTCCCACTACTGTGGCCAATGCCATCTCTCCTCTAATGTTAAGCTAACTACTTTTCATCATTCTTCATTTCAAATGAGAAGTCAACTGATATAAACTGTGATTTTCCCCCAAATACATTTTTCTATCAAATTCTCTATGATCATGATCTGCTCATCTTCATTTGAATTCTTCCAATAATCTCTTTTTTGGATCCTTTCCAACTCAGCTCTGGAGCAGGCTCCTCCCCCATTTTGCATTACTCCTGTTAAAAACTTCCAATAGTTTCTGAGGTTTATCTCACAAGGGTACAGGTGAACTTTCTAAGAGTAGAATGTGAACGTTTTAAAATAATAACTAAGAAAATGACATGAAAAAAAAAAACTTCCAATAGTGATGCTCTTTTTTTTTTTTTTTTTTTTGAGACAGAGTCTCACTATGTCACCTTCAGTAGAATGCCCTGGCATCACAGGTCACAGCACCTCAAACTGTTGGGCTTAAGTGATTCTCTTGCCTCAGCCTCCCAAGTAGCTGGGACTACAGGCGCCCGACACAACACTTGTCTATTTTTTGTTGTAGTTGTATCGTTGTTTAGCTGGCCTGGGCCAGGCTCGAACCTGCCAGCCTCGGTGCATATGGCTGTGCCATAACCACTGTACTACGGGCGCCGAGCCAGTGATGCTCTCTATTATATGGATCAAACTGGCCTCATCTGTCTCACACAGCATCCCAGCCACTCTGTGCTACTCATTTCTGAAACACTTATTAAAACTCCTTTATTGTTCAACTTAATTTCCTCCTCGAAGTCTTCTCCACACCACTGTCACATACCTGAAAACACTTTCTTCTTTTCTTTTCATTGGAAATATAACCTATTTTTAATTCAGATGGCATTTCAAATTTCTCTAAGAGAATTTTCCAGGTTCATTTGAAAGGAAGGCTAATGTCATTCTCTAATAAAGCTGCCATGTCACACTCTTCCCTTGGATCTCTACCTGGCTGTTTATAGCCTTGCCTCTGACTTTCAAGTCTAAATTCCATTACTGACCTTCAAAGACACATTGTGTTATTTATTTCTCAGTGATCTTATTTCTATACAAAACATGTATTAATATATTTGCGTTAAAAATGAAACCAAGTATTTTCTGAGTTAATAATAACAGGGATAATGCTGCCATACATAAGCAATTCAGGGAGGAAAACCCAACTACCTATAGCTCTTCTTGCTGCATCAAAAAATGAACTTTGGTAAAATGTTTTATTAAATTTTTAAAACAAGATTTGTAATATATTTGATGAATTGTGAATAATTGCAATAATTACTTCACCCAGAAAAAAATAATACATAGAATCTACAGCCATAAAAATATTTTTAAGAACTCAATTTAAAGTTGCATCCCGATTCACTTTGGCAAGTTTGAACTTGCTTGACTTAACAGATGTTGCTGGGAGGGCTTCATTTGTTTCCCTGTGTGGATTTCACATTTCTTGATTTTGTGTATCTCAATACTTTCATAATGACCCACATACATCATGAAAAATTGAGGATGATGATGAAAATAATAATTAAGGAGAAGGAATGATACAAAATTTCATGCTATTAAGAAAAGCTCTAACATACTTATATATGTGTTATTTTTTTTCCATCAAGACTTCAGGTAACAAATCCTAGTAGTATTAAGAATTCTGTAGATGTGGCTTGGTGCCTGTAGCTCAGCAGCTAGGGTGGTGCCAACCACATACGTTGGAGCTGGCGGGTTCAAATCCAACCTAGGACTGCCAAAAAACAATGACAACTACAACCAAAAAATAGCCAGGCGTTGTGGCATGTGCCTGAAGTCACAGCTACTTGGGAGGCTGAGGCAAGCGAATGGCTTAAGCCCGAGATTGGAGGTTGCTGTGAGCTATGACACCCCTGCACTCTACCCAGGCAACAGCTTGAGACCTCTTGTCTCAAAAAAAAAAAAAAGAATTCTGCAGATGCATTTAAAGAATATTCTAACAGTCTTATTTAACTGTTAATATTTTGACAACATTCTGGAAATTACATCCTTTGTAACTATTTTAACTCCCAGGAAGAATTTAAGAAACTCACTTAAAAATGTGTAAGAAGGTACCAGGCACAATGGCTCACGCCTATAATCCTAGCACTCTGGGAAGCTGAGGCAGGTGGATTGCTTGAGCAAGAACCAGAAACTGTCTCTACTGAAACTAGGAAAATTGAGGCAAGAGGATCACTTGAGCCCAGGAGTTTGGGGTTACTGTGAGCTATGATGATGCCATGGCACTCCACCCAGGGCAACAGAGTTAGACTGTATCACACACACACACAGAAAGGGCAAGGAAGTACACAGCACTGATATTTCAAAATTCTACTGAGAGTATAAGAATAGTTTAAATCCAATGTTCTAACCAGTTTCCATATCAATGTGTTTACACGAAAATATATACTGCCAAAGACACTAAATGGATATAATGACACAGATATAAAATGGGTTCAAACAAGGAGAATTTATTATCTATTAAATTTTTAAAGGTACCCTTCCTTTCATCTGGCAATCTGACTTTTGGGAATCCACCCCACAGATATAAAGGTACATTTAAACTTATAGTTGTGATGACACTTACTACACAATGTAAAACACCAAGAAGACTCTGACTATCCATGGCTTAGAATTTAAAATAATGAGTTAGATCTAGAAGACTATAAGAGATGGTAATGAGGAATATCCACAATATATTTAAAAATGGGAAATGCAAGTAGTATTCATAATAGAAACCAATTTTAAAAACACAAAGATTACCAGCCTCCCAAACACACGAAATATCTATCTACACACAAAAAAAGACACAGAAAAAAACCATATCAAAGTGTTAACTCTGGTTATCTAAGAAAACCGGGGCTGGGACAAACTCTCCCTTAAATATTTCTACATTCTCTTACCACAGAGTAAGAAGGTAACATATCTGGGTGTTTTCCAATACTGAAGATAAAATTATGGATTTGGATATAAACAGAAATTCAAGTATTAACTTCAGATTTTAAAAAGTAAACACCAACATGACAGATTTCCATGCAAAGAAAAAAAGAGCAAAAAGAGGAAGAAAAATATAAACAAGCTAAAAGGACACAGAATTACAATGAGGATGGGCTAATAAATAATTTATTCTGGACTGCATTATATAAAATTAAAACTCACCGTACAACAGTACTGAAGGGCTATTGCATTTAAAGTATCTCCTTCTTGTATATCTTTTGTCAATACAATAATGTCATCAAGTCTATCTCTTGATGTACTTCTTCGGACTTTCTCTCTTCCTCTGGATCGAAGCTCATACACTTCAGCATCCTCTTCCAAGGTATCACTGTCTATACAATTTCCAAATGCATGTATTTGACCACTGGACTGAACTCCTGGAAGAGGAAAACTATGATTCTGATGTCTTCCTGCCATAATGTTAAAGCCTAGAAAGAAAAAAGGAAAGAGAAAACTTTGGAATGCAGCTGATCCATGACTGATTTACATGCATCTTACATTCAAGGCACTTAATCTTTGAGTTTTTTAAAAGAATGGTTTTATTTAAAAATTTAGGTTCAGTTTTGTACTTTGTAAGTGTTAAAGTACAACAGCATTTGGCAGTGGAGATAAAGGCATAGGAGGAAGAGATAATCTACTCTTGATAGACCCTTTATCACAACACACGTGGGAATAACCGCATTTTAACAAAGGCAAATTGCTACAGTTTTTTTTAGGTAAAAAAATTAAGTTCCCCTTATTCTAAGTTATGTGAAGAAAATTAGAGAAATAATTTTATGTTATCTTAAAAATGTGTGACTACATATACCACTTACAATTCTGATATAATTAAAATATGTTTTATACCCACACAATACTTTTTTTTATAAATTCAAAACTTTCTGGCTTGGAGGGATCACTTCTGAGGTTTATCTTACAAGGGTACAAGTGAATCTTTCTAAGAGCAGAATGTGAACATTTTAAAATAACTAAGAAAATGACATGAAGGCTATATTAACCAGTTTGATGGAAGTGTTTCGGATTGTGTGTGTGAAAACCCCACACTGTACCCCAGAAGTGCATTAATGTACATAGTTACCATTCAATAAAAATAAAAATAAAAACTTTCTGGCTTGAGAAACTGAGAACTGACTCGATATTTATGTTACAGTATGGGCCTCCAATAGAGGTCAATTTAACCAGGGATTTTTCTTCTGGGGAAGCTTTTTACCCAACTTAAGTTAATGAGTGAGTCCTCCATCAAATTCAATTTATAGTCCATAAAGACTATGAACAAGTTTTAGGTCACTTTGTTCATTTACTTCAGGAAAAAACACTGTAAGGCTGAGACTGACCTGAGTTAAAGCCATACATCAATGAATACCTTTTGTTTACTTGCATACTCACTCTCAACTCATCCAGTTCATCTATTCTCATTAAAAAGGAAAATAAGAACCTAAAAAACTAACTCCACATTCACAGTTTTGGCTTCATCTTAACTATTCACACACAAAAAGGACAGAATGCCTTTTTTCTTTGAGACCGAGTCTTACTAGGTTGCCCTTGGTAGAGTGCCGTAGTGTCATAGCTCACAGCAACCTCAAACTCTTGGGCTTAGGCGATTCTCTTGCCTTAGCCTCCCTAGTAGTGGGGACTGCAGGCGCCCACCACAACACCCAGCTATTTTTTGTTGCAGTTGTCATTGTCATTTAGCTGGCCTGGGCCGAGTTCAAACCTGGCTCCCTTGGTGTATGTGGCTAGCGCCATAACCACTGTACTATAGGTGCTGAGCCGGACAGAATGCTTTTACTTATTGATGTAAGATGGAGGGCATTTTGCAGATAAAATACTCTGGGTGTTATGTGGATCATACATGAAGGGAGGGAAGCTGCGGTTAAGGAGAGTGACTATGATTATGAATTCTCTAAGACACCAAAAAGGAACGTCAAATAGACAAGTGGGGTATGTAGTCAAATTCAGAAGAGAAGTCTGGGTTAGAAATATTTTATGACTAATTTGCACAACTAAAGCTGTGCATATAGATGAGACTACCTAGAGCAAAGTACAGATTAAGAAAAGAGGACCAGGCTCGGCACCTATAGCTCAACTGGCTAAGGCGCCAGCCACGTACACCTGAGGTGGCGGGTTCGAATCCCCTGCCGGGACCCGATGGTTGCAACCAAAAAAATAGCCGGGCGTTGTGGCGGGCGCCTGTAGTCCCAGCTACTTGGGAGGCGGAGGCAGGAGACTCGCTTGAGCCCAGGAGTTGGAGGTTGCTGTGAGCTGAGATGCCATGGCACTCTACCCAGGGGGACAGCTTGAGGCTCCTGTCTCAAAAAAAAAAAAAAATAAATAAAAGAGGACCCAACATTGGGCTTTAAAGAATTCCAACATTTAGTATCTTGAAGGGAAATCAGCCTGCAAGGATGGAAAAGCAATGTCCAGAGGAAGAAACCATGCAGCGGTTTAGTCACGGAAGCCACGGTAAAAAATAAGGTGTGGAAGATAGACTTCAGTTCTTTTTTGAGAACTAAAGAAAAAGAAAAAAAAATATCAAAAAAGACCAACTCCAAGGGTCTGAATTTGTAAAAAGGATGACAATAGATTACACACAAGGTAAGTATCCCTAATGCAAAAACTCAAAATTTGAAATGCTCTAAAATCTGAAAGTTTTTGCACACTAACATGATGCCCCAAATGGAAAACTGAACACTTGGCATTTCAGATTTTGGATTAGGGATGCTACATTTACATAGGTATTCTGGTGATGTTCCTGAACACATTATTTTTTCACAAAATTAATGTCATATGTTTTACAGTTAATTATTATGTGTAAGTACAAGAAAATGACTGCTTATCTGCCAAATATAAATTCAGTTAAGAATGACGTGATCGTCAGGAATGACAGATTGTCCTTGTGGACAAATGCCATGTGTTAAGTGATATATTAAGTGGCTATGATAGTGACAACTTTGTTTTCTGATGACTCAAGGTACACAAACTTTGTTTCATGCACAAATTTTTAAAATATCCTATAGGCTCAGCACCTGTAGCAGAGTTGTTAGAGCACCAGCCATATAAACTGAGGCTGGCCGGTTTGAACACGGCCAGGGCCAGCTAAACAACAAGGACAGCTGCAACAAAAGATGGCCGGGCATTGTGGCAAGCTCCTGTAGTCCCAGCTACTTGGGAGGCTGAAGAAAGAGAATTGCTTAAGCCCAAGAGTTTGAGGTTGCTGTAAGCTGTGATGCCACAGCATTCTACCAAGGATGACATAGTGAGACTCTGTCTCAAAAATAAAAAAAATTTAAAAAATGTAAAATATTGTATAAAATCACCTTTAAGCTGTGTGTATGAGGAATAATATAAATTATAATAAAGACTAGTGCGTTACCGGTTTCACTAACTCGTCACTCTTTTTTGTAATTAAATGCAAGCAGCAGACTACTGTACCACAAACTGGGTATTCTAAATAATCAAGAACTGGTTGTGTCTCTAATGGAAGGGAAAAGATGGACTCTGGCCCACGCAGACAATTACCTGAGCCAATAGAGATTAGAAAGTACATAATATTCAAGTCACCTGGCTCCATTCGTTCCACCTCTCAACTCTCCTGGGGCAGGAAGGGCATACATCCCCTCTTCAGAAAACTGGAACAAGCCTCCACGGTATACACGTGGCCCCAAAGAATAATTACCAATGGATAGTTTTAAAACATTAAGGCTCAGTCACTACCTGAAAAAGGTTTCCGAAACTCCTCTCTACTGTGGGGGTGGGGAGGTTCGCGTTGACCTATTTCAATTCAGCCGGGTGTAATAAAGGTGCCACAGAACACAACTAATTGTGCACTGAGACAGAATCACGGAACCGTATCCAACGGGCCGATTTTCTTTTTCCAAACCTAACTTTCTTCCCTCTCCATTCCACACGTCCACTTGTTCTTTCCCTGTTAATGCCCTAGTGAGAATTAAATCTCAGATTTCTCTGTCTTAACATCACATTTGGACCATGGGTTGAGTCGCCGTCAGCGATTCCTTAAAGCCGACACCAAACTGCGGAAGAAATGCAATGTGTTCGCGCGGGTAATCGGAAGGTAGGAGTCCTTCCTGTGAGCCTCAGTCTCCCCGACAGTGTGAGAAGGGGCCTTGGCAGAGAAGATCTCGAGGGTCTTTCCTGTCTCGGAGGTCCCTCCACGCGCGTCGGAGACCGAACCGCGCCCCAATGTTCCCACCACCTCTGCGGCCGAAGGCTCCGCACCGCCTCCAGCCGGGAAGCAGCCGGGGCCCGACCCTGTCCGCCCGGGCCGGGGCACCCCCACTTCCCGCCGCCATCTTTACCTGTCCCGTTAACAGGGGGCCCGTAGCAAGGAGACAGCTACCAGATCTGCCGCCACTACTGATGTCCCCGGCAAGTTCATAGCCGAGCCTCCGTTTTCGGTTGACCTCGTCCACCTCCACCGCAGCCAACGCCGCCGCCAACGTCTTCGCCTTCCGGGCCGTGCGCCGCCGCCACGTCCGCAAACCTGCGGTGCGTCATCGCGTCAAGTGGGCGGAGGTGGGAAGGGGCGGAGGAGGAGACGGGGAGGGCGGGAGCGCGAGGGCAAGCGCAGAGCCCGGGGCGTCCAACCACAGGCCCGCGCCCGGCACGCAGGCGCACAGACGCCGCCGGGGGAGGGGGCGGGGTCAGGGTAACAGCCCGGCCCCCGCCTCCTCCCCTTCGGCCTCGCCCGCTCACTCCAGGAGGGTTATCTCTGCGGCCGAATCCGCTGGACTGCCGGGCAACCCGGGCGACCTGCTGGCTGCTTCTTTGTCCAGCGTCCACACGGCGCTGGCAGACTCTCTCCGGAGCACACTGCGGGGGAAGGGAGCGGGGCTGAGGATTTGTCAAGGAGCTGTCTTGCATGCATCTGGAGTTTTCTCTAGGGTGGGGAGGGACACTTCAAAAGCCCTGTATTGACGTCCCTATTTTAGAAAATTACACTATGCGTGTTACTCTTTTCGTGTTGAAACGTCTAGACTGCTGCAGAGGCGAAATACAGGAGAAAACCCCCGGGGGGAGTAACTGAGGGGGGAGTTGTTGCAGCATTCGTGTAAGGAAAGTGAGCCACCTAGAGTCAGGACCTGGGACCTCATTCTCAGGCTGGAGGAGTCAAGGCTGTCAATAGAGTAAGCTAACTTACTTTGATTTGAAAATTAACTGAAAGTTATTGGCAGTCACCCATAAGCTATATGATTTTGTTTGTTAAGTTACAAACTTATGACTTCCTGTGTGATTTTTCTCACAAATGTACTGAATGACTTTGATGTGTTTGTGTTTATAAACGTTAATAATTTTAATGATGCTCCACGACCATGCTAAAGCTTATGACAATGTCCATGTTAGGTACATATAGCTGGGATGCAGGATGCAGAGCACTTCTTTTCAAAATGTTCAAAGGAATATTTACACATCATGAAGGCTTTGAAGCTTTATTTTAAATTGTTTCAACGGGTGTGTTTTTGGGTTTTGTGGTAAGTGCTTCAGCAAAGGTTAGAAATTCTGCATTGCAATATTATGCTTTTATCTGAGGGAATAGGCGCTGTGCTCCACAATGCTACAAAAAAGAACTGCAGGAGAGGAAGATGTAATAAACAAAAAAAATTTAAAGGCTGTCGGGGTTGTTCTTGTGTTGTTGCCCTTGTGACACCCCTGTCTGTAACCATTTATCACTGAGACATTTTCTCATCAGTAGACAAAGGATATATTCCTACTTGATATGTAGGGCTTCAGCTGCTTAGCTCTCATGAATGCTAATAGGAATACAACCTTCCTTCTGCATATAGGTTACTTTTCTTATTTTAATATCAATAGGCAGTGGAATCCATGTGAGAATCACAGTGATAGAATTTCAAGCATTTCCATACACAGGACTTCTACCTGTGTTCTCTGTATGAATACTTTCTCAATGAAATCTGCATATTCTTGAATCATTATTTGTGGTTAACAAATATGCAGTAATTGTTTTACAAAAAGGCAATAATAGAATTATATTTTATTATTAAAGTACACAAAAGAAGCAGTTAACCATGAATTTTGGCTGAGTTCCAAAAAGCTGGCCAATAGGAAGAAATATTTTGTGAAAAAAGATGTCCCCAGTGCTCAGGAAAACCAAAAGGATTTTTAGCATTTTGAGTTCTCATCTGACATTAATAGGCTCCATTAATAGGCTGTAGATGAAAGAATATGTGGTTTCTAGGAATACATGTTTTTGTCACTAATGTTTAGGTTTTGTGAGTTGCTCCAGAGTAAAAGTTGTAAATTGATGCAACCTATTAGGAGTATAATTTGGCAATATCTATAACAATTAGAAATGCAATTGTCTAAACTATTACATTGCTAAGTAATTACCTTAAATTTACTTACAGATACATATGTATAAGATTTAATAGATATGTTCAGGAATGTTTACTACAGTAATAGCCAAAATGTAAAAATATTATAAAGATTCCTCAGTAGCTGATTAGAGCTTCTGGTACTTATATTAAAACAATGTAATACTATACTTTGGATCAAATTAATGAGGTTAGTCTGTATGTGCTGATTTATTCATGCATTTACCTAAGAAATTTTTATGGAAGGAAAAGTATGTGCAAGATCTTTGTTCTAGGCATTGGGAATATAGTGCTTAAAAACACAAAGTCCACTTACTCACGGATCTTGCATGACTGTAAGCATGTAGAAAGATCTGTAAAATGTGGGGTTTTTTTTGTTAGAACAACTCAGCAAAATAAAATTCCGGTTAATTGTTGGACAACATTGTTTCACACATACATCAAACAGGCCAAAACAAATAAAAATAAGTAAACAGCAACTTCATAGCCCCCCCCCAAAAAAGGGAAAAAAAAGAAACATTTTATCTTTAGCCTTTTTAACCATCTCATACAAACCAACTACTTATAGTACAGCTAAGTACATACACACAAAAAAAGTTATTGGAATGCTCGAATAAGATTTTTGTTGTTGTTGATTTTGCTTTTTTTACAAAGTTTTTTTTTCTCCTTTGAGATTATAATGAACATGGTCACACCACAAGTAAAGTCAGAGTCATAAGTAGGACAGAGACTGCTCTGAAGGCTGGTTTGGTCATCCGAGATCATTAAAAATGGCTGACCCCTAACAATGTACAAAAATATAAAATGTAAATAAAAAATACAGACAGACAAATTTTCTTTTTAAAGTACTTTTAAGAAAAAAAGCAGGGCCTTGGAAGTTTTGGTTCTTTTTTCCTCCCCTGTTGCAAATTCTCGTGGTTTTGGTTGGGTAGTGAAGAGCGCATGACACCTGCAGGTGGCGCTGCCTCGGTGGGCCGGCGAGCGGGCCTCTCTCCTGGAAGGCGACCAAGTTTAGATTCTGAGACGGGAAGTGGAGGGTGAATAGGTCATGGTGGCCTTTTGTTTGTTTGTTTGTTTTGTTTTAAGTTTAACGTTTCCTTTTTTGCTGTCTAGTCATCCTGCTCAGCCTTCTGCTTCTTGGTATCCACATCATCATCCTCATCATCTTCAGCTGCCCGTTTGCCCGTGGTGGCCTCAGCTTCTCACCTTCATCTCCATCCTCTTCTTCGCATTCTTCCCCCTCCCCCTCTTCCTCCCCACCTTCTTCCTCTTCTTCATCTACCTCGTTGTCAGCCTCCTGCTCCCCATTTTCCACGTTAGCGTCCCGATTAGCAGGGGCGTCTCTTCCATTCTCTGCCTTGTCCACCGCTTCCTTCTTCTCCTCTAAGTCCTTGGTGGAGATCTCGGAGCTGGTGTCCACCGCTGTGTCTGACGTGGTGGGGCACATCGGTGATCCGACGCGGGGTGGGGGGTGGAAGAGAAAGCGAGAGTTCGGGGACTCTGGCGAGAAAGCTGCCGGAGTTGGTTGCAACGAGGAGGAAACCGGACCCAGGAACAATGCAAAGATGGCTTTTCAGAGCCACAAGTGGGGTCTAAAATGTATTTTAAAGAGCAAAAAGTAATTCCTACATAAAAAATATGATCTTACTCCTTTGAAATAAAATTTTAAATGTACATCTCCCACTCTATATCCTCTACCGCACAATACACACCCAGTTTTATATCTACAAAGGCAGTTGCATTACTATTATTATTATTTTTTTTTTTTTTTTTTGGTCTGGAAAGTTACTCAAGGAATTTTTAACAGTGGTTGAAAAGAACTAGATGTGGCAGGGGAGTAAGCAGGAGTTTTGTTTTTGTTTGTTTTTTAAGAGACAGTCTCACTTTGTCACCCTTGGTAGAATGCGGTGGCGTCACAACTCACAGCAACCTCCAGCTCTTGAGTTTAGGTGATTCTCTTGCCTCAGCCTCCGGAGTAACTGGGACTACAGGTGCCCACCACAACGCCTGGCTATTTTTTTTGTTGCAGTTTGGCTGGGGCCAGGTCCACCCTCAGTATATGGTGCCTGCGCCCTACTCACTGAGCCATGGGCACCGCACTAAGCAGCAGATTTTTGCCTTTTCCTTTTTATATACCTATATAGACTGAAATTTTATTGTTACATGCTTTTATAATTATTAAAAAGATTAAAACTGAACATACTCTATTTTTTTAAATAACTAGACTTGTTTTTTCTAGAGTTAACCTATAGTTAACCATCTATCTTTTAATTATTCCTGAATCTGTTTGTAGTCAAGCAGCAACCAAAGGGAACAGAACAGTGAATTCTTTTTGTTTCTCCTTGATTTCCCTCTGACTTCTCTCAGCCCTGCCCTTTCACTCTCTCCTCCTCTCATTAGCCTTTTCTTCCTAATTCTATTTCCTAGAAGTAAAACTGTCAAGATCTGTTGTATCATAAGGAAATACTTAAATCAAGTGAATTTAAAATTGGGTTATAGGGCGAAATTTTTTAAAACTTCCCTTATCTCTAATATTCAAGCAATCTATATAGGAAGAAAATTATAGTGTCTCTTCTCTAGATATCTTGAAAAATAACCAGACTACATGATTCAGATATGTTCTACTAGATGTACCAAATAACCCCCGTGGTTGCCTTTTACCCTGTGTTTTTTTTAAACATAGTGATTATTATAATTAAAGCTTTGCCATAATGTGGATTAAAAAAGAATCACATTGGGCAGTGCCTGTGGCTCAGTGAGTAGGGCGCCAGCCCCATATACCCAGGGTGGAGGGTTCGAACCCAGCCCCATCCAAACTGCAACAAAAAGTAGCTGAGCATTGTGGCGGGAGCCTGTAGTCCCAGCTACTGTGGAGGCTGAGGCTAGAGAATCGCCTAAGCCCAAGAGCTGGAGGTTGCTGTGAGCTGTAACACCATAGCACTCTACCGAAGGCAACAAAGTGAGACTCTGTCTCTAAAAAAAAGAAAAAAGAAGAATCACATCACATGTACTTCAGGAATCCAGAGGTGCCTATTAAAGCTACTAAGTAATTCATGGCTATGACTTGAAAATAACCACCACCAATGTCTTCCTCCATACAGACATTATTAAACTCACTGC